TCCTAGGATTTATAGTTTAGAGAAGTACTTGAATGTTCGGTTAGAGAATTTTAGTTCTGTAATTTAGAGAAGAAGCCTAAGTCCTTCATCACACTCCAAGATTCCATAGGATGGAGCCACATCAGTTACAGTGGTAACAAATTGATATAACTGTGTAGTGTAGAAATAATGCAAAATATGAGAACAGAGACAGTGTGGTATGATGGTTTGAACATTGGAGTATGACTCTGGAGTCCAGGGTTCAAATCGCTGCTCAGCCATGGAAACACACTGGGTGACCCTGGGCAAGTCACACTCTCACAGCCTCAGAGGAAGGCAAAGGCAAACCCCCTTTGAACAAATCTTGCCAAGAAAACACTATGATACATTCACTTTAGGGTTACCATAAGTTGAAGCAACTTGAAGGCACACAACAAGATATAACAGCAGTAGGTAGGTGAGGGAGATCACCTAACTGATAGCAGTGCTGCCTGAGATAGTTGCATCCCATCTTCTCCAACAAATATTTTCTTCTCAGCTCACCTATTCATGAGAGAAAGGGAGCAAGCTAGGTGAGGCTTGTGGCTGCATTGTACTCCTTTTGCATTGTGAAACAGTGTAGAAAAATGTTGGCACACTTCTCCCCACCCACATGATTACCTAGTGAAAACCATAACTATCAAGCATTTCAAGTCCTTACTGCAGAAAAAGAGAGCTCCCTGGCTTTTGAGCAGGGATGGTCAATTTGAGGCCATCCAGCTGTTGTTGGATTGCAGCTTCCATCAGCCCTTGCCATTACCTCTCCTGAATAGGGATGATGAGAAATACAGTCCAGCAGCATCCTGAGATGACCAGTTCCCCACCCTATCTTCTAAAAAATAATAAGAATTATGAGGCCCTCTAGATGTACTGAAAGGCCCAGTATCTCTAATCACCAAAAGTGAGGAATTATAGGAGCTGCAGCCCAGCAAAATCAGGAGGGCTGCATTATTCCCAGCTCACATGCAGTGTTAAAACAGGAATTTTGCATAGTTCTGCCAGAATATACACTTAGCTGGGCAGATCAAATCAGGTTTCAAATGCTGACATTATTTGTACATTAGAAAGGTATATGTGTCTATAAGAAAAGGTTGTGCTAACCACTAGTTTGAGAACTGAAGACTTGATCTTGTAGGATTTTTCTTTGATTGGATTCCACTTTTTCAACCTTACCACCAAGAGGAGACTAGCAAATTGTTGCTGAGTTCCCACTGCTGGGCCAATGAAGCCTGAATTTTGCTCCCAGGCACGTAAAGGCATGTGGCATCTTCAAGTGGGATAATGAACTTCTGACTCTTTGGGTGTGATTGGATGACAATACCCATCATCCCTGTGTTGGGTGAGTCTCCTGGGAATTGTTTTCCAGCAACACCTGGAGAGCTATGTGGCACCACTGCCTTCTCTTACCAGATATAGAAAGGGGTGTAGTGGGGGCAGCAGCAGAAGAAAGTTGTAGCATTCACGTCCTCCTTGTGGGCTTCTTAGGAGCTTTTGGGGCTGTCTAAGGCAGTGAGGCTTATTAGTCCATGTAGTCCATGAATCCCATAGGGAGATGGTTATTGGGGTGTATGTAAACTTGATGCAAACATGTTCTTTCCCCTTGATTTCCTTCCTCCTGCTTTGAACACTGTGTGTGTTCAGCGGAGACTTTTAGATCTTACTCTAGTAAGGTATTGTTTCACTCCCAGTGACAGTAGGATGACATAGGATGCTAGTGTGGATGGTCAGGTCATGTACATTTGTCTAGGTTGCCATGTTGTGGGGAAAGGGTCAATAGCTTCTATCAGATTGTCAATGCCATGTTTTAGTGGAGCCAGGGTTCACAGGGTCAAAGCCCCTGGACTTTTAGACAAAGAATCAAAGCACCCCCAACAGATGGCCATCCAGCTTCTGTTTAAAAACCTGCAAAGAAGGAGACTCCACCACCCTTCGAGGGAGTGTGTTCCACTGTCAAACAATTCTTATTCTCAGGAAGTTCCTCCTAATGTTGAGGTGGACTCTCTTTTCCTGTAACTGTGACCTGTTTATGCAACCCTATATCTGGAAGTGGAATAGATTTTCACAGTAACACTATATTGTGATGAGTAACCTAGTTGTAATCCCAAATATGTGGGGTGGCTTGGTTTTGAGGAAGATCTGTAAGTGTTACAAAAGACTTGTTTTTGATAAAGATAAAAACTAGTAGAAATCTCTTTCTTCCTTCCCATCCCACTTTGCCTTTCATCCCCTTCCTTCAGCTACCTGCATTCTGCTTGGGGGCCTGATTCAGCAAGAGAAGGAAGAGAGGAGAAGGGATCTAGCAGCACTACTTGAGACTTAAGGTTCCTTTCACAACACACAATTGCAGAACTATGAATTAGCTGGCACGGTTCCATTCTGTGAAATCCTGGGATTTGTAGTGTGTGTGTGTGTTGTGTGCCTTCAAGATCCCATGTATTTCATTAGGATTTTTTAAAATGGAAAGAATACTCAGAGGTGGTTTGCCATTGCCTTCCTCTGGTATATATATACCTTACTGCACCTGGTATTATTTGGCAGTCTCTCATCCAAATCCAAACCAGGCCTTACCCTGATTAGTTCCCAAGATCAGATGGGATCTAGTGCCTTCGGGATATTTAGGCCTATTTGCACTGTAGGGAGGAGCAATTATTATTCTCACCTGAAGAGCTGTCATGCTCCACCAAGTTACAAATGTAAAATTCCCATAGGATATGGTCATGGAAGTGGAATCATAGTGCTACAACTATGCAGTTTGACTGGGCTCTAACTGACACTTTTCAACATAAGCTATCATGATGAGGAACTGCACCTTCAAACCTGCCACTATTCTATCCATTCTGTAACTCCCAAAGATTAAGAACATTGGTCTGGAGAGTGAAAGGCAGACGTACAGACACTGGTGTGTAGGATCCCATAGCCATGTCCCTTCTATTCTACTTTTTGCTTATTGTCCTTCATCTCTAGCCAATTGGTTCCAGAAGAGATGAACACATTTTCTGCAGTCTGAAAATAAAATGTACATTAGAAAATAGATTTTTGTGTGGTGAGCAGTATGGGTTTAAGGAACAAGATGATTTCTTAACATAGACCAGAAAATATAAAGAAATACAATATTAAAATGATTACTGCTACTTTTTAGTCCACATTACCTTATATTAATAGGATAGTATTGGGACCAATTACCTGACCTGTGACCACAGAGGATATGCATGTGACAATCTGTCTCACTGTTTTGGATCTAAGTGTGTAGCTTCAGGCATTGCCAACTACAGCCAGAACTCCTTTTGCACCACAGCTGCAGGAGTCACAGGTACCTAGAAAGTCCTACTCATCATCTCCAGCTTTTATAATGACAGAGCAGCAGCCCAGGCCACGTTTTTTGCTGTGTTGGTTGGGAAAGAAATTTAGAAGGGGCCTGGATGTTGGTGGTCTCTTCCCATTGCTTTCCAGGAGCAGGGCCCATCCTAGAGAAGCACTAAGTGGTTTTCCACTCTTCACTTTTTATCTCCAGTGTTAAATTTAGCCTTCAGGCTGTTGAAACTTTTCTCAGTCCTCAACATCAAGGTCCAAGAAATGTGTTAATCTTTAAAAGAGCACTCTTTTGGAATGTTTACTGTAACCCAGTGCTATTCAGACTGAGGATACATGGACTGGTGCTAGTCCATGTGCCATTGTCAGCCAGTCTTTGGTGACTTTCCAGGAAACAAAGAAATAATAGTAGCCAATGGTTGCAAATATGGTGCCAGATCCTGACACATTGGAGGGGAAAATAAACACTTTTCCCACATCACAAATCCTTGGCATACTTGCATTGTGCTGCAGCAATTTTATATATGTCTACTCAGAGGGAAAACACCCTGAAGGTGAAGTCCCTTTGAACAAAGCAAACCAAGGAAACAAGCATGAAGAACTGCTTTACTTTTCACTCTTCAAGTCAACCAAAGAGCATTTTTATACCTTCAATTGGGTACTGGGTAGTAAACTTCTCCACCTATTTGTGTGCTGTTGTTATTAACTGATAAAGTACAAGACAGAAAGCAAAAACATTTTTTTGAATGAACTGTTCATTCTAAATGAAGTAGGATTTCCCCTAGCCATTTCAAAATGAAACAGAAAAACAACATGCTGAGAAACAAATCATGCCAGACTAATCTGATCTCCTCTTTTGATAACATTACCAGTTTGGTAGACAAAGGGAATACTGTAGATATAGCATACCTCTATTTCAGTAAGGCCTTTGACAAGGTCCCCATGATATTCTTGCACACAAGCTGGTAAAATGTGGGCTAGATAATGTGATTGTTAGGTGGATTTGTAATAGGTTGACTGGCCGAACCCAAAGGGTACTCAGCAATGGCTCCTCTTCATCCTGGAGAGAAGTGACCAATGGGATGCCACAGGGTTCTGTCCTGGGCCAAGTGCTATCCAACCTCATAATCAGTGACTTGGATGAAGGAACAGAAGGCATGCTTGTCAAATATGCAGATGACATCAAATTAGGAGGAGTAACTAATACCTCACAGGGCAGGATCAAAATTCAAGAAGACCTTAATAGATTAGAAAGCTGGACCAAAGCTAACAAAATGAATTTCAACACAGAGAAATGTAAAGTACTGGACTTAGGGTGGAAAAATGTAATGCATACATATAGGATGGGGGACACCTGGCTTAATAAGATTATGTGTGAAAGGGATCTAGGAGTCCTAGTAGACCACAAGTTGAACATGAGTCAACAGTGTGATGCTGCAGCTAAAAAGACCAATGCAATTTTAGGCTGCATCAACAGAAATATAGTGTCTAGATCAAGGGAAGCAATAGTGCCTCTATATTCTGCTTTGGTCAGGCCTCACCTGGAATACTGTGTCCAGTTCTGGGCACCAGAATTCAAAAAGGATGTGGAGAAACTGGACCATGTCCAAAGGAGGGCAACTAAAATGGTGAACCATGCCTTATGAGGAAAAACTTAGGGCACTGGGTATGTTTATCCTGGAGAAGAGACGGTTAAGAGGTGATATGATAGCCCTGTTTAAATATTTGAAGGGATGTCACATTGCAGATTGAGCAAGCTTGTTTCCTGCTGCTCCAGAGACTAGAACACGGAACAATGGATGCAAGGTACAGAAAAAAGAGATTCCACCTCAACATTAGGAGGAACTTCTTGACAGTAAGAGCTGTTTGACAGTGGAACACACTCCCTCGGAGAGTAGTGGAGTCTCCTTCCTTGGAGGTCTTCAAACAGAGG